CAGAGTCGGACCGTCGGTTTGGTACATTCCTCCACATTTCGTCGACATCACAGTCGGCATCGTCAATGAGCCTTGCCTTTGTTTGCACCACGCTACAACTCGTCAAAGAGACAAGTGAAGTAAATATCTTGACTCTAACCCCTTGCCAATATGATCAAGTTGCAAAAACACGGTTAAGCAACTACTGTACAACTAAAGGAGACCGCGATCATACAAAAGGCCACACTATCTTGGTCTTCGTACCCCCGATAATTATATTTTCTTATAAATGTCTGAGTAAAGCTTTCTCTCTACTTCAGCTCTTTGATTTGATGGATTTATACCATTCCATTATGCCTTATACTCTTCAGCTCTGGTAGGACTTGCCACTACAGCAGCGAAATAGACTCACGAAAGTGGCGAGTCACTTCAGCCAATGATAAGGTAGAAAAAAACCGAGATTGTCCTGAGGTTGGAGTGCAGATTTTCGTAAATTAAAACTAGTTTGAGGGAAAATTTAAAGTTTAATCTACAAAGGGCGGATGGAAATGATAGTTATAATCTATTTAAACTATAGATTATCGCTATTTTCAAATTGCCCGCTCTGAGATTAGCAGCGAAATAGAAACGGATCCTTTTTTTAGATCGTCTTTTAGGAAATGTTTAATATCTAAGTCTAATTGATCCCTATATTCTACGGAGCCATTTTATGCATTTTCTTTCCATTTACTTACATATACAGCTGAGCCTGGTCAACCAGGGCAACCGACTGTCGAAATTATCACAGATGGCTGCGTCTTCCTTCGCTGGGCTCGCCCACTTTTAGATGGCTCTGGCGGTCCCCTCTCGGGCTACCAAATCGAAATTTGTGAACTTGGTTCAACAAAATGGAACCGAGCCAGCCAACAGTTACTCTTTGAGGCAAATGAGGCCCGGCTTGACGGTTTGGGGGCCGGAAAAGATCTCCAATTCCGCGTAATTGCCATTAACAAGGCAGGCCAAAGCCCGCCCTCCGAACCTTCGAAGCCAGTGCGACTTGGTACGCTCAGTGATTTGCAAATGATTGACTCCCTATTTGTATTTTTAGAATTGAGCTGCCATGGCAAGTGCCAATACTTAGGGGAGTGAATTCTTATGATTACAAGGATTTTGTGGTTGCAAGCTATTCTTTTTTGGTCTCATAATTGAATGAATTTGAGAATGAAATCCTTTTCATATACAGCGTAGTTCTAAGGTAAACCACAAATTCATCGGTGTTGTCTTACATACTTGCATAGCATAGATTTTTACTAGCCCCTTCCTGAGCCCCCAACAACATTGTCTTTTAAGTCCAATGTTTAAATAAGATGTATATCCCTACTCCAAGCAGGGTAAGATATCTGCCACTTTTTACCTTTTTGAACCGTGAGATGTAGAAGAGTAAGGCGAAAAACGTCAAATGTTTTGCTTCGATGGATTTTCAGCA